GGGGGGGGGGGAGACTATTGGAGACTATGATTTTGCGATGCGCCATTTTAGGTCCACGCATCGAGATTATTGAAAAAAGAGTTTTGTGAATCGTGATAGAACTGAACTACGTCTTTGTGAGAAAGTAAATTTTTTTTAGACTCGTGGATACGTACGGCGAAGTACTTGCGCGATTTTGTTCGTGTCTTAAGAAGCGCTTCTTCTTCTTATCTTTTAAACTATAAATGAATTAATCAACTAAGTGATTAGCGGAAATCATTCTCAACTTACCTTAGAATCAGTGGTACCACTTCTGATGTCTCAGGGATATGGGTAGAAGCCAACAAATAGAACACAATGAGTGACAACAGAATGGTCACGCCCACTACCATTCTTTCGCCACTCTCAGGGGGGAGGGTGAATAAGATCAACGTCATGAATGACATCATCATGCAAGGTGCGATGAGGTACACGAAGTAGTAAAAGGACTTGCGTCTAATGTGAATAATGTACGTCACTGCTGATTTGTTCTCTGGGTTGGTATGAGTAGGCTTGCTTGATGATCTCAGGGCGTACACACGCTTTAAGGACCATTCTTCACTTTCTACAAGTAAAACAAGATAAAATGCTTTCATAATAGCACTGTTTGGTAGAAAGAGGACAAAACGAATCAAATGAGATAAACGGAAATTAACTTCAATATAAAAGAATGGCATTCATGAAATAATTATGTTCCCCTGAACATATGCATTTATTAATTTATCTATCTATCCGGCAGGATTAAGCCTTTGTGGATCGACTCTACGTAGCCTCCATTTACGAAAAATCCACGGAATAAGAGAGACTGTTCCCGCAATGTAGGCGTCCCTTCACCCAGTCTCGTACCTGGACCATCCACGGCCAAGCATTTCTGTTATACGGCAGGATCTACGTACGAGATTAACCTTTCACCCACTTCAGGCACTAAGCACGCATTTTTTATTTTAAGTCAACGAGCTCATTTTGCCGCTGCGTCTGTCCACGGTTATTTGCATCCTACATAGTGGGCGAAAATAAAAAGACCTAATATGAGAGGTGGAAAAACGCAATGAAAGATAAATAAAATTACCTGTATAGTTTTGTAATATCTCTGTGTCCTCGGGTTCCAGAACTAATGCACTTTTACTATACGTCCAGGAAACAAACTTGAGCTTGCAGAACTGTTCGTCAAATGGGAAATACCTCACTCTTAACTTGCACGTGCTCTTGAGGATGACCGGCGCAAGCCAGCGGACTGTACCCTGAGAGGTTACCAGCAAGGGATTGTGCGTACCTAATGGTTTGCCCACTTTGTAGGTATCAGCACTGAAAGAGGTGATATTTTTATAAAAGTTCATAGGGCTACTAAGGTATTTTTAAGTTGACTTTCTCTTGTTTTTTCTTGTCAAGTGTTTTACATATCCTTTTAGCAGATATTGCTTCTTCCCTGACATTTACAGAACCTATCGACCAGTTTTCCACCAAGTTTTGAACACACACGAATAACGTAAATTGTGAATTTCTGATATTTGAGCTAAAATATGAATATATATTTAATAAGACGTTTCAGTGTGAAGTATCGCTGAGTATTTTTACGAGCTAGTTGTACTGTATTTTGACTTGCCCGTGAGGCGAGTCAAAACGCAAACAAAGAGTGGAGATTCTTAGCGATACTACACACCAAAACGTTTAAGAAGTTATTTATTATCCAATTGCTTTATTTTAAGCGCATATCTTGTAAGACGGGAAAAGTGAAGCAGAAAGAGAAGCGTAGCACGCGCAGCCGACCGGATAAACAAATTTTTTTGCAAGACAAAACAGTCAACCTTCCAATATCGCGTGATATTTTTGTTCAGTTCGCGCGTTATTTGTACCCTGCCAAGCGCAGTTGGTTAAAAAAATATTTCTTATAAAACGTCTTGGTGTGTAGTATCGTTGAGTATTTTTACGAGTTGTGCCGTTGTGCGAGTCCGAAATACAAAGGAGTAAAAATGCTGGGCGATATAACACATCAAAACGTCTAATAAGTTATTTATTATCCAACTGCATTTTTTCCTGCTAAGTCTTTCTGTTCATTTCTCATAAGGCGGGAACAGGAAAGCGGATAGAGAAGCGTAACGCAAATAATCGTAAAATAATCGTAAAATATCGCACGATATTTGTACTCTATTCGCGTTATATTTGTACCAAGTGCAGTTGGATAATTATAAAGGATAATCGTTTGATATGCATGAGCTTACTTGTTTAATAGGACGGTATCCGGTACCCAAACATCATTAGGAAACAAACTGATCTCATCGATCCAACCGTAGCGAGATTTGTTCCATCTTAACTCGGGATCAAACCAAGCCTGTAGAGTATAAAGCACTCAGTGGCATGTGAAGCTAAAATCCAAAGCCTTGATCACAAGGATGGATAAAGTTTTCCCGCTGTACATTTCAAATTCTCTTTCCGCACCGTGCACTGCTGACACATAGTTCATGTAACGAAGGATTACATTTTTTTTAATTTTACAAATTGAATCGGGGAATGGGGTTTTTTTAAAAAAATAATTTTGAGATAAAATGATTGGTTGTTATGTATTTGCATGCTGTGTTACTGGCTTGATGACTCCGTAAGCAACTTTGGTAACATCACGCAAAGACCGTCGCCAATCACTTTCTACAAGAGAATATTAAGTTATCTTGGTTTTCACTGACCGGGGTGTTAAAATCCCATTGTCAAACTACACGTAACTAAACTCTGATTAGGAATCCATGAAAGGTTAAGAAAACGTCAATCAATTTCATCGACATTAATTATTTTCGGGATTACCTTCTTTAAGATGGTCGCACCGCGCTATGTTATTACCGAGTACAGAATAGAGAAAGAATTTCAATAAGCCCAAAGTGTTGACGGGCGCTCAAACTAACCTGTTTAAGCCAGACACTTGTGATAATAACTTGTTTCTTGACATCCTAGATGATTCAAATGAGAAGACTGAAGATAAAGCTGTGTTTTTTCTTGTTTTAGACGTGATAGCGGCACTCATATTGTTCAATTACATGCATATGAATTGAATCGTAGCTAAACGCCTGCATGCTAAACGTGCCTACATATATTTTCATGCTTTCTCCTACCATCTCAAAAATCTGCACCAGTCTCAAACTTATGTTGACAGGTGTCGGTTGGGAACTATTTTTGACCACTGGCCGTAATCCCGTATGATAATGCTCTAGTAACTCCTCGACAAGAGCTCTCTCGTGAAGTGCCAATGCTGTTAAATAAAATATGAAATCACTTTAACTAGAAAACTTAAATGAAAACTTTTATTGTTAATTGTGCTTGCAGCTAATCACATCAAGAATTTCCTTCTTTTAAAAATATCGTAACTTTGTCAATTACAAGGGGGGTCATGGGCAAATTTTCAAATTGTCATTTATGGAGGACCACAGTATCCTATCTGGTAAAATTCTCGCTGAGTTAATTTTAAATCAGTTTGCAAGAGAATCGTTAAGGAAATCTTGTTTATTTGACATTTTATTTACATCTGTATTCGAATAGAGTTTTTGATCACCCTCGCGTGTGTTGAATCAAATCGCAGTGCACTAAGGTGATAAAAAAAATTGTCTTTAAATTGTTTAATCTTCCATTTATTTATCACAGATAAACTGGATATGAAAATGGCAAACTGGTGATTCATTTTCGCAAGAAACGAAAAAACGAAAGAAACAAATACAAATTCGAAACACAAATAAACAAAAATGCGCCTCGCCAAAACTAATAAAACTCAGAATCTGTGCAGTCACGACATAGGCATCACTTATTAAAAATTCTCTTAACTCCATGGTGGCGGTTTTTTTCGTTTATTAGCCAGCATAATCGGCCTGTTGGAAATCATCAAAATTTTGTTTTGTCTCAGATCTAACACAGAGGGAAAACAAATTTTTTCGGATACAAAGGCTTGTCTGTTTCTGTAATAATCTTAGAGCTCACGAAAGGAAAACTAAGAGAGTGTAAAAGCAGCATGTAGGGAAGTTTTTAAGTTGTTGGCTGTAAGCTGTTAAGAGTTAGTTAATCTTACCTTGCCCACAAAATCCGGAAAATAAGATAATCAGACAAGTGAGTAACGACATTTTTCATGAATCAGGGATTGTCTTTACAAAACATCTTTTAGGAGTACTCCATAATGGAGACAGTTAAATATCCCCTCCAACATAGAACGTTGCGCGTTTGTGCTATCAGAAAACTGCATATTTAATTCAGAAATTTTTAAAATTCATCTTTTAAAAGATTTTACAGGTATTTTGCAGGTGGTCAGTAACGCACACGAGGTATTTATTGACTTAAGGGGAATACATATATCTTATTCGATGGTATAACATATCATACGCACACCGTGCGGATATTTTGCAAGTTGCATAGTATTTTTCCGAGCCCCGAAGGTAATGTGCAAAATGTTCGCTCGTATCATTTGTGAAACCATCGAATAAGGGATTTGTTATTCCCACTAAAATAAATTTGATGTTTTGGCTTCTCCATTTCTGGTAAGAATGTTAAAACTTACCCATGATTCTCTGTCTATCAGTAAATGACGCTTGCAGGTGACGTAAACAACACAAAAAGTCAGTGATATTTCTATAAAAAAACCGACTTTGCCAATACTGGAGTCAATATTGGACGCTGGGATTCAGCCAACCTGTACCAGGGTAAAATGGCATCAAAACAAAATTTCAACATAGTTGGCGGATACTAATGCATCTTGTCGCTTTCAGTGAAATGCAAAAACCTGATATTAGAAACGAAACAAAGGAGAAATGAATTCTGGGTTGACTTATATCGGAGTTTGAAAAGAAATCTGCAATTGCTTCAAAAGAAATTCCTCTGTAAGCACTTGATGGGTGAAAATCTTCCTTTATCTTGCAATTTTTTTTTTAATAGTCTCCTTGATGACTCGACTTTTCTGATTTTTTGATAACTATATATAGATCAGTACGTTTCCCTCACAAATGAATTTCAATGTAAACTTCCTTGTTTTATATTATAACTGCGAAGACACGTAAAGACTGCGCTAAGCTCGGACGGATTGCTTTGTTACTCTGAATACTAATGCTTTTCTGACGCGTGACTTGACACCGTATCACATAAAATCCATTAAATATCAAATTGAATATTGCTTGTTTGACTCATATCACTTGAAATTTGAAGACTTTTTTAAATTTGCGTCAGTTAAGTGCACAAAAGCCAATCATTCCTACAAACAACTTTATGTCAATCTTGCAAGAGAAAATTGTTACTACTACACCCTTTGTTATCCACATAATCAGAGTTTGGAATGACTTACCGATTAATTTACTAATACAAGTCGATGTTCTTTAGCTTTTAAATCCAAACTTCAGTGTCACATTTTTACATCTTAATTACTTAAATACATAGAATTAGGAATTTTACCAGTGATGTTTTTAGTTAACTTATTTTTTAAGGCATATTTTATATATATATGTATGTATATCTGAAAGTTAGACAAATCAATAAGACATAACTTACGCGATCATCAGACAGATTTTAATATTTAC